AGGGTTCTAATTAAGCTCAGATGAAGTGACATAGACGAAGGTTCTGGGATCTCCTTTTTCATATCCTACCATCCCTTTTCAATACAATTTAGTTCCTTGTAATCAAAAAATGTAAGCAAAGAAAATTAAATGTTTTTCCCATTAATACAGGTTGTAAAAGATTAATTTTCTTAAGTAAAAAAAACCATTAGCACTAAGAAAACTCGGTTTTACAGCACAAAACTGAACAAACACTTACTTTAAAAGCTATTTACTCCTTACAAAAGTTTGCTTTTACATAAAAAATGTTTCACAGAATTTAATAAATATTATACGAAAAAGTTTGCCAAAGGTCAATGGATAGAAGCATTTTGAACATAAAGAAATCTAACAAAGTTAAATATACAATAATCGCAAAAAAAACTACACTAACATCATCACAACAATAAAACAACTCAAATGGAGATGGACAAGACACACATTATGCAAACAGACAAATGGAGAGACAGACAATAACTTTATGACATATAAAAAGCGGCAGAGAGACCTGGTCTAGAAAGGCTAAAAGAAGGAAAGATTAAAAGAGTTTGGAATGGAAGAGTATGTTCAACCGGAGACAAGATATTTGTCTCTGATTAGCTGGCTTTTACATATAAATAAGATAATTATATTGTTAGATATATACTGATATAAAATACATACATAAGACATACTTAGACAATAAATAATGAAATACATAAATAATACCAGCCAGACAGGATTCCCTTGGCAGGGGTGACCAGACGGCTGAGGATTAGGGTGGAAAGGAGAGAAACTGAGGGACAATTCGGGCGATGTCCAGAAGCACCGCTTTCTGCATCTGAGCTAAGAGCTAACCGTCCCAGAGTCCTAGTCGCCTCAGATACCCGAAAAGGCTGACTGGGATTTGCCCATTCGCTGAAACGACTACCGGGATTATTATACAACAAAGTACCTGCAATCCAATATAAATTATTACACTAAACTATCGTAAAGTATATTTACTTCTAATAAATAAAAAAATGCATTATCCAGCAATGTTTAGAATGTACAAATAAATTAACACTTACCACCGACTGAAGAATAATTCAAAAAACAAACTAATGTTGTTAATAATAGTAAATCATTAGTATTGTTTACATCTTGCTAATATAAATGCGAAAGTTTAGATGAAAAGATGTTTGTTAGGGTTTGTAACCTAAACGGCTGAACGGATCTCCATGAAAGAACACAAAGGTTACTTGTATTTGTTTTTTTTTTTAATTACGCGCGGACGAATTTGCAGGCGAAAGCTAGAAACTAATTACAAAAATATTTCAAACTTTGTATCTTGAATTTGAATTTGACAACTTTCATTTCCTAACCACAGATTCTACTCAACAGCGTGACGTCACAGAAAAAAAACGACAGATTGTTGTGTTTTCGCCAGACTAAAAATATTTTCTTGATAAAAATAAACAGCTTAATTAGTAAACGTCGTTTTTATTTAACGAAGCTAACAAGATTTTATTAACTAATTATTTTTCATTTATATACACAAGCCTAAAAAAAATTAGCAATTTAAACTCCATATCTTACGATAATTTTTCTGGAATTTCGAAATTATAACAATGGCAATATTCACTCGTGTAGCTTTCTCATTGGTCAAAATATGACGCTAACGCAAAGTTTTTCAGTGGCCGATTGAAGTTGTTTGATTCTCTGCTGCCAGTGTGCGTCTATATAATACTTGGTACACACTAGGTCAGTCCAGTTAAACAATAGCAATCAAAAGCTGGACTGACGTATTGTTGTCACTAACACCAGAGAGTCTACACAATCACTCGTTGGTAATGGTTACGGTAATTTGCATTCCATTTACTGGCGTAATGCGAGTGAAAATCAAGTGAAACGGATTAGTAGCCCGTATGGCAGTTCACAAGATTGTATTAAACATGTCGAAACAAGACGTACTATGCGTAAACTTGCATATACTTAGATGTCATTCTCAAACGTCATCCCATCTAATTGTACGCCAGTTAACGTATGACATGGCTGTAGCACTTGAAAGTGGATTTCATTTTGAGTAAGACAGTCACTGGAATGTGATATGTGTATTCTATCCCTTTTGTTAGTAATGTGGTATAAATTTGTGGTATAAATTATAAAATGTGATCCTAGCAAAAACGTCAGTGTATTTTTCTCACTCAACTGTTTCGGTTGTTTGTCATTTGTTGGTTAAAAATAATTCTTTTCAAAGTGTGTTTTGATCGTTGAAGGATTTTTTCGCACTAAAATGTCCATTTATTTAATTTTCCTTCGTTAAGTATTGGTCGTATTTGTTTTTCACGTTTTGTTCTGATATTTGTTTATAATGTCTTCTAGAATCTTCGTTCCTTCTTAGGACTTGTTAAGAAAATGTCTGCGACAAACAATTTATTAGATGAGTTGTTATATTGTTTTTTTTGATGTATATCGCCGTATTTTACGAATAACCTAAAATACTAATATTCTTGTTATAGAAATAATTTTGATATGCATCCATGATTCAGCGACGACCTCTGAAATGAAAAAAAAAATGCGATTCAGTACGAAGTGCTTTTTAAATCTTTGTTTTGTTATATTTGTGCATTAATATTTGATTAATATTTTATGGTTTACACCAATATTTGATGAATGGCATCAAATGTTCGTTATTTTAACGACTTATGTTTGTAAGTGAAGATAAATTTTTATTGGTCATTTGGGGTAATAGTTTTATGTAGTAGTGAGGAAATCTGTATCTTTTAGTCTCAGTATTTTAGTAGGAAAGCAATATCGAAAATGGTGTTTTTTCGTAGTCTTTTGGTTGTGTTCTTGCTAAAATCTTGCAACAAATAAAAATGGAAAATTCTTATGGAAGTTACTATATGTGCTTGGTAGAACTAATTTTGTCTTATTTCAACACATAAATGCAAATCTTTCTATTTCTAAAGACATCACTTCTACACAATCCAATAGTAAATGGTCTGGTATTCTATGACTTTAGTTAATTTACTACCCAGTTAAAATTCTGAGAGTATTTCTTTATTTTTACAACATTTACTATTTGTTATTTACTATAAGATGTTGTGTTACTTTGGGAGTAGTTTTAAAATGTTTGATTTCATTGTTTTTAGCTAGACTAGCTTCCCTGACGTTCCCTTTCAGAGGTTTTATTATTAGGTTGATTTCTTTATTTCCAAGGCTTTTTTTGTTGAGACCAATGTGTAAGGTTGCTTTTTAATGTCTATTAGGGTGTCCATAGTCAAGATACAATCATTGATTTCAAATATTTTTAATAAGTCTGCCATTTTTATTGTTTTTGAAACCTCTCAACCTTTCTGAAACCGCTTAGTTTCTATTTAGTTCGCAAAATAAAATGATTGAGACAGTTGCCAGTAGTTACAAAGTGTCTCGAGGTGCAGCTGTCCAGAGTTGGGGACAGGGGACTGATAGGACCCCACAGTGCATCTACTAATAAACCTACATGCCGAAGTCTTGTTTCTGCTTTATATATAATGAAATTGGAGTGTCTGTTTGTATTAAAAGAAAAATTCCATGAATTTGTGATAACAAAAATTGCATTTAAATTTCTTTGACTGATATTTGATGGGTCAACATTTGCATCATTCCTAAACATTAATTAAAATGCATAAAATTGTATACACAAAACAGTTATTGCGCAGAATCCTGCTGAGGAATAGTCAAGTTACCGTCTTGTTCTCACAAATATAGGAAACTAGTGGATCTAAGACCAATGTAATTCAGAAACTGTTGAGCCATCCATCTTCAAGAAAAACGGCTACCTTATTTACAGTAGGAATTATCTGCCTTTGTGGAGTGCAATCTGAATGAATAATTATCTGAGGAGTTCTCTAAGTTGGGTTTAAAATTTCGTGTATTTAGAACAGTCTGTAATTCGCAAATTAAATCCATTTTGAAGATTGGTGTGCTGCATCAAAATAAAATTTGCAACAATTGCGGGTTTCGGTCAGATGGTAAAAGGCAACCAAAGTGATGATCCAACTATTTTTCCATTATAAAGGTGGGCATATTACCTTCCCTGATTTCTTTTGCGCGAATAGAAATCGTTTGAAATAGACTATTGTATTTACATATATTTATTAGTTGTGGCGGTTTTTGAAGGTTAGGAAGATAAACTATTCCTGAAGCACAGCATAAAATTAGGTTTATCCGCCATTTTTTGGCAGAGCAGTTAGAATAGATCTTATTGACTGCGATTTGGACGGACGCTTGTGCATTATCAACCTGCGAAGCAGAAAGCCAGTCTGGTGCTGTTAGCTAAAATTCGATTGCGAAGTCCTATTTGTGGACAACTGTGTGTAGAAGAAACCAGAGTGTTAAGTCTCAACGAGGTAAAAAAAAAAAGCGTTCACCAGACATGTGTCTGACAGTGACAATGACAGATGACATTTGTTTTTTTTATAGTCCTTGAGACACATTACATGTGTCGTGGCATTTTTTATTTAATTATTTAATTCTTTTTGCACAAAACTTACAAAACATATACTTAAAAGCTAAGACTCTTTGTAGATATTTATAAGATCTACAATAATCTATTTATTTAAAACTTTATGCACAAATTAAATACTAATAATACAGATGTTTAACCTACTGTACTAAAAACAAAGTATGTGCAAGGGCGGCTTAATTGCTATGAGCAATATCTTACAGGCAACCCAATGAGACAGGAGAAGCAAATTTAGGCCATTTTATATTTCTATCATTCATCATTCATCATCATTTTCGCATTAATGTAAAAGCTACTAAAAAAATGTATGAGAAACAAAATTTTCCATTAAACTAAACCTGTCTACATAATAAAGAAACCTTTTATATCAACTATCAGTTGAATTAAAAAAGGATAATGTACTATTAATAAGTTCTAGTCCAATTTATTCTAACATGGAATTTTCATGATATCAAAATATGAACAGTTTTATTACGTTCTTACACAATTTAGGTAATAACAAACATGCTTTAAAATTAACTTAAATGAAGCGTAAATAAAGTCAACAGAGGAACAGAAATAATGTATTTTTAAAAGGTAACAAATTTAACTGAACTTACGACTTACGTATAAACCACTCGAGTGGTCACGAGTCACTCGTAATTCGAGTCCCTCGAAACTTGAGCTAGCAAAAATTTCACTCGAGTCCGAGTAATATAAAAACTATTTTATTTAGACAAACTATAATAAGTGCTATATTTTGTCTAAATAAGATAGATTAGTTTGACAGTTTGACGATTTCAATGAGATCGTTCAATACAAAGTGAATTCACGTTGGTATACTCGCGCTGGTCACTTTTATGTGGTCAGTCGCTCGAGGGGGGCCTCAATGACGATGAGTTGCGCTGCCAATCGCTGCTCAGCCCACTGGATGCTACGATAACGGGGGTGCATAGTCATCCGCCTACTCCCTGGGTTCTTAATCAGTGAGAACAAAAATGTATATTTTGATGTTATTAGTATAAACTATATAGGTTTTACGTTATGTTGCGGATTAGTTTGACTGTTAATGCAGTATTGAATAAAAACTCTGAGGTCGTGTGAATGGTTATGCTTTTATGCAGTTTGTTTTTGTGAAAAAAATAAAAAAAAAAGTAAAATAAACACTATGCAACTGTATTATGAATTGTAATAAAATTACCTATCTTTTTAAGTTACTCGCCGGAGTTCCATAATACTTTTTCTTTCAGTACACTTGGAGGAAGTTTATTGAAATCGTAATTACTTATTTCTTGACTTGACAAGAACTTAATTTTCTTTAAAATCTTTGTGACATGTATTGTTTTTTTATTCTATATTGATAAAGGGTTATTGACGATAACATAATAGCTTTTTTTTTTTTTAAATATACCAGTATATGTAGGTCATCGGTTACAAAATTGCCCCTAATGGTGAAAAATTATTAAGTTTTTAAAAAATGCCATTTATTTTTTTTAATTCCCCTCTGGGTATATTTATTTTATTTTTCTGGTGATCCTTGTGACCACCCCTACCATCCCCATCCTATGTACGTAACCTTTTGGGACATATTTTGTAATATTCCTTATTTAAAGGTATCCGGATGCTGCCTCGCACCTGCT